CTACTAATTTGGTGTATAATACTTCGTTGCCTTCTGGAAGTTCTGCATTAGAGAAAAATGGTGATACTAGACTTATTTGCAAATCCCCGGAGGCTTGTCAATCATGACATCTCTTTTAAACGTGTGATTTTGATTGAGGCATTTTACTTGGACTTGATTAGGGATGCAAGATGCTTGATTTTCCCTTATAGGGATATTCAACTAGACTTACAAATTCACGTGATAATTAACTATCACCTGCATATTCTTCTTGCCCTCTGGGCAGCATTTCTTCCTTTTTACTCCAAATGCCAAGTTCCCAAGTCTCTCTTTTCCATTGTTTTGTGCTTTGTTTGAGAATTTCTAAATGCTACAGCTACAGGCTTACACGATAAATTGATTATGCAGATTGGTGTTCACTATAGAGGAGTATTCTACGAATTCGTGCCATGGAATGGAGTTGTTAAATGGGAAGTTTCACAATGGGGCTATTGGTTTATGTCTGCAGAGAATAAAACACACAAGGTATCAGTTATCTACCAAAGAAAATTATGTTTCTGACTAGCACTGTATTGCGACTCAGCAATATTGACAAAGCTGGATGTTGCTTAGCTTTTCATTTTGAAATGTACTCGGATTTTTTGGTCTAACTTGTTTTGTATGGCTTTAGAAACATGTATACTATAGAATGCTTTAGTTGCTTCTCATGGAAGTCATGTCTAAGCAGGTGGAGTTGGTGGCAACAACAAAAGACCCAGGCACTACTTTGCGTGCTCCAACCTCAGAGGCCGGCTTTGCCCCAGCCTGTAAGGATACTTGCAGTGCAGAACTAAGACTGGAACTGTGGGATCGAAGATCTGATGGAAGTAAAGGAAATGTGAGTTTTGTCCTTGTTCACCATTCTTTTTCTTCAAAATAACAATTCATAGTTGCAGTGAGATGCCATTATCATATTAGAGATTCTGCACAAGTTCATGTTCCTATAGCCCATTTGTCCCACTTTGGGACGGCAGGAAAGTTTAGATTGATATGCAAGTTGATCATAAGTGCAAATGCACAGCTTGGGATATGGGCAAGTGAAGATCAATGCTGAATAAGGGGTACTGCAGCCCAGGACATACCTGTGGCTGAATTTGTTACATTATGGCATGAGAGAGAATCTAGTTTTGCCTTTGCATGAGGAGAGACAGCTACTGTTAGGTTGCTGCAAGGACGTAGCAGGTGTGAAGGCTGCTTGGTCTCTACACAAGGTGAGAATGAACCTGTGCTAGGTTGTTAGGGTGGGCGATTTGTGTTTGCAAGAGGTGAGACTTGGTTAGGCCATGAGGACGACTTTGTGTCTTTGTTAGAGCTGGTGACCCCGAGTCAGGAGAGCGAGAAAGTTTGGAGTGATTTTCTATTGTCAGCCTAAGTACCCATGTATAGCTTGGATTCTTGGCAAGTGATGATATAGGCTAGGGTGCAGTTGCTTGACTGCATCTGCAGGCTTAGGGCATGACAACAAATGTCAAAAAATGTTACTAGAATTTAGTCAGCCTATGGTTTCTAATTTGATTATCTTTTAGTCCTCTTCCTTTTCTTGAAATACGGAAAGTTGGACTAGTCATTCGTGAATTTCCTGGAGGGACCGCATTGTAGAAGTCAAAGTATATTTAATAAGTTTCATATTTTAAGGATCTGAGTCTTCCACCTTTGATGTTACATTATGAACAAACAAGACCCAACTACTGAAGAGTTAATGACACTTGAGTAGGTTAGATCCACTGTGCATGACATCTCCTCTTCTTCCTTTTTTTTTTTGGTTTGATATGTGCAAGACATCTTTACCCACGGACTATGTTCCTGTGGTTTTCTTTTTCCAACCAAATGAATAACCAACACTAGTAACACTTCATGCCATTGTCAACGACACAGGAATTTCCGAATTTCCTGTCTTGATCACTACAGTCACCGAGTTTAAAGTATCGTATGAGAAAGCTATTAGACTACCTGTTGTATTCTGGTTCCAACATCATAGGGGACAACATGGATGAGGATGTTGTAGGTTTGGTTGGGTGTTGGTGAAAGGAGAATCCGTGAGTTCTGAAATTGTCCGTGAGTTCTGAAATTGTAAGTTTGCAGCTACAGAAAATAAAACAGGAGATCATGGACTTATTTGGATATTTGGAAACAGATCCTAGTGGAAACATTCTATGACAATGTGCTATTTGCTAGTGGCAGAAGTCGGGCATGAAAACAAGGATATAATGAGTTAATTTACGATGGTTAATCGAGAAGACGAGTAAGTGGTTATATGACCCATAACTGTTGAAGTATGAAGCATGATCCTGTGCTTATTGTGTATTCGTAGAATTCCATTCTCTGGTGTTACTTCTTGTTATTGAGCAACATGTTTAGTAGAAATGATCATCTTACTACTACTATTTTCTGTGGTTCAAAATCTTTTATCCGCAATTATATACTTTTCATGCATGTTCGTAGAGTATTCTGGATGTCACAAGTAATATGGCAGCTGTAGAAGTTGGTGGAGGACCCTGGTTCAGCCCATGGAAAGGCCAGACGAATACACCAGAATTTGTTAGCCGGGCTCTTAATCTTCCTGTTGATGTAGAGGGACTTCTGGATTCAGTCCCTCTGCTGAAGCCCCCCGGTCTTTAACAGATCGAGTGCTGTATTTCTTTACAGGTTAGAGAGGATGAAAAGCTTCACAACTGCTCAGATTTTATAGGTCTTTTCCATGGGAAACCGGTTGATCTCCATACCAAACTTTCCTGTAGGACTTCTTAGGTGAAACAGTTGTAGATGAACCCCAGAAAAATAGAAACTTATCATCTGAAAAATTGCCGAAGTAGTCCCAAAGTTTTAGGGAAGAAATTGCTGTAAATTTTTTGTTTTTCCTTTCTTTGGGTAGAAAGTGTTGGCATATATGCTTCGAGATTAGAGAGTTACGTTGTAAATAATTGTGAGGCGTTTGAGGGTTGTCCGAGTACATGATAAGAGAATGAAGCACGTGAGATGCTCTAAACTAAAGTGACAAGAAACTGTACCTCTATTGAGAAAAAAAAAAAAAAAACCATTCAAGGAGAGGTAGAAGTCATACGGATATTAATTAGTAAAGCTGAAAAAAGGTGGGGAAAAGGATGGATTGAATAGTTCGGGGAAGGGAGAATAATTGAGAGATCTCAACTTGACACCTTTTGCTTACAATTTTTTTAGACAAAAAAAAAAAGAAGCCACAAAAAGGGCAAAAAGTTTGCTTATCTAATTATATGTTTAGCAAATTATTCGGATGGTAACTAAATTTATGGAATCGTGAAGTTTTGGTTTCTGAACTACTAAAATTTTGATTTTGATCGCTAAACTATTTACCGTTTGAATTTCGGACCTTTTCATTAGGTTTAATTGTTAATTATGAAATTCACGAGTGTTTGTGTGTTTGTGCGAAGATTTATTTATTTATTTATTTTTTATCAGCAACGATACATTTGTATAATCTACTCTATCCTAATTTAGGGAAGGGGGAGCCTAAGGAGGCTGTTGTAGGGACTAGTGGGTATACAGATTCAACTAGATCAAGGAGTGCTATGGTACAACCCTTAAATTTTTTTCGCTGTTGATGAGGTTTAAACTCTCACCAACAACTTAAGGAGGGACTCAAGTCCTCCCTGATGGCCACTGAGCCATTGGCCCAGTGGTTTTGTGCGCGAAGATTCACGAGACAAGAAAAGTTATGTCCTATCACGGGACTTATGATTAAAGTTATGCTGAAAATTTTATGTTTTAGGGATTAAAGTGAGGATGCGAGTATGATTAAAGGATGTAAAGTGGATTATTGCAACAGCTAGTGAATCTGGTACCACTAACTTTATTAGGAAGAGCAATATCACAAGTGAAATCAGATTTACCTTATCCAAATTCAGGCAATCACAGATTACCTTATCCCTTTTCTGTGATAGAAAACTCACCAAGCTTAGAGGAATATATAATACATAAGCACGTGAGGAGAACAGAAATGACACATTCTGCCGACATTAATTTTTTTTTTCTTAAATAGCAACACTCAAAAGAAAACTAGCTGGCTTTTTTCTTTTTCTTTTTGTTGTTGTAATTTAATAATGGTAACAGATGGACAAAAATAAAAATTAATGTCAAGTCTTTAGATCAGTTATAATAAAAATTGTTTAACTGTTAAGGTGGCTGTTGATTTAAGAGACTGGACCAACAATGGCATTTCTCTTTAAAAGCTATAGATGCAACTGTTAATAAGTTACAAATGTTGTTGAACGAAACTTAATCAAGCAAGTGAAACCAAGATTTACATGGCCAGTCGATACTCCTGAATGTCATGAGATGGCATATTTATGTATATTTTTCTTTTCTTTTTTTCTTTTTTTTTTTTTGGTGCTAAGGAGAGCCAATGGCTCATTACAGGTTGGTCAAACGAGGGAAAGCTACTCCACACGCGTCATGGCCTAGGAGTTCTTTAAGTATATTTTTCCTTTGTATACGATTATTGTATATATATATATATATATATATAAATCGGTAGTGTAAAGATTAACAATTGTAATTTAAACCTAACCACATGATAAGTAGGGTTGACCTAAACAAGTATGATTGGAAAAAGACAAAAGAAAGGGGGGTTTTTTTTTTCTCTGTCACATCTTTGATTTTACCAATAAATTATGCAGGCATTACACGATTTCTCAGTCACCCTCAATCATTTTCTATATGATAGTATTAGTTTGGAAAGAGTGATTCAATTATTGAGAGCACTTGCTTTAACATGATTGCATGCAACTTTTTGCCTTACACAGAAGAATCATATTTTACCTTAAATTTTCGACTATCTTTGGCTTATATACTTAGGTCACTTGTGATATATGGCCTGTATAATTCATAATCTCACAATTTGATAAGTACACATGAAGGTCTAAAATACTAAGTAACACAAACATAGAGCAAATTTCAACTAGTATATGTAAAGCAAATTCGAGGTAATGATCGTAATGCATCTTTGAAACATTTAAAAGTGTGTGTGTTGAAATGCGGTCGACCATTATTATATGATGAGGCCCAATGAATGGCACATTAGTTTGTATCATAGGCACAAGAAAGTAAAATCGAACCAAAAAAAAAAAAAAGGGAAAGTTAAGAATCCATTTTCCTATATAAACGTTCACTCTTAACTCGTTAGTCTCATCCCTGAAACTCTAGTTCTCTTTCTCTTTCTCTTATGCTTTGCTCCTCCTACAATTTAATCTATCATATACGTATTTACGGAAGAAACAGGCAGCCATGAAGAAAGTTCTTCTGTTTCTAAGTGCTCTTGTCTTCTTTGCCCTAGCCCCAGAAGCAACGAACGGTGCGTTGCATGGAAAGACGCAAGCATTAATCAACCGAGCTAACAAATTTGGACCTTATTTAGGATTGGTAATTCCAAATCTATTCGAAATGAATCCACTACTCCAACATCCAAGTTTCGTTCCTAGTGAGCTCGTTATAGATTTTGCAGGTACTATTCCAGCAAAAACACCATGAAATCAGAAACATTTTCAGCAACTTTTGTCCTTCAAGATTTACACAAATAACATCTTATTTTGTCTTTTCGAAACTTGTTCCAAAGGTAAGAGATTTCGATTTGGAACAATTGAGAAAAAGCCAGTTATATTGGTGATGACGGGACTCGGAATGGTATGCAGATTTTTAGAATTTCATCTATGTTCTTTTTAGGCCATACTAGAAAAATAGAGAGGAATATGCATATTAATTCTCCTACTCCTTATTAGCTAAATGCAGGTGTAACTACGCAGCTTTTGCTGAGCTTGTTCGAAATAGAGGGTGTTGTGCATTATGGAATTGCTGGGAATGCAAACCCTTCTCTTCATATTGGAGATGTAACTATTCCTCAGTATTGGTCTCACTCTGCTCTGTGGAATTGGCAGGTATAACTTGGCAGATTTACTTTTGTATGCGTAGCACCATTATAAAAATGATTAAGTAGTATTAACACGTAGCTACTATATTAAATCTCTTATTCTTTTTCTTAATCTAAATACCAATATTGGAGGTCAAAGGGTACACTTCTATGTTTGTTTCCTAACCCAACATCTCAAGGGTGCTGCGGTGGGTTGTGTTTGAGACCAGCATCAACAACAGATTAGGCTAAATCGACACTTCTCCATTCTAAATTTACACCTCTATGCATTCGTCGTGTGGATATTCATGACCTATATTAGTTGTTTGATACTTGTATAAGATTTGCACTCCATAACAAGTTGTATTATTCGTAGTAAAATTTGTACAATTTGAGAATTTAAATCATAGAGGATGTAAAATTCAGCATTTTCCACAGTTCCATGCTGGTGTATGTTATGAATTTTGGGTTTACGATTTTGCAATTCTAATAGTCTACATACTGATGTAGCATCCTTTTGTTTGGTACTTAGTTACATTAGAAGTTCTATTGACCCAATGATTTTTCTTATTTTAGCTAGGTAAAAGGATTATTTTCTGAAGGGTCATAGTCTATGGATAAGCCTGTACCGCTTTTGGGACATCATTACTACTTTTCTATTTGTTGATAGGAAACTTCGTATAAATCTGGGCCAAGGAAATACTTGTGGATTTAAAGATTTGACAAGAAATGGGAAGATTCATCTGATGCTGATTTAATAAACGACAATTCCTTTCCTCTCATTACCTTATTAGTAAATTATTCAACTTCAGTTCATCAGGGGATTCCGTTTGAAGGTCCTTATGTAGTAAAAAAGAAAGTGAGGCGGGCTAAGATTCCATTTGAAGTAAGGTAATAGGATTCGATGTTGCTCCATCTTCAACTCTTATCGAGATCTCTGAAGTTTTTGGAGAAAAGTTTCCATCCTTCAATATCATGATTGGATCGACCAGGCCAGATCATGCATGACTGAATACAAAATAAAAAAAAAAATGTGCATAGCTGCTCCTGCTAAAATATATACTTGGAATAATTCTACCACTTCTACATTACTAGGAGTAACCTTTTTAGTGCTAGCTCAATGTAAAGTAATGACACTTTTATGCAACGTCCAAAAGGGTCCTGATGTAGTAAAGGGACCGTTTGGATAGCTACAGCCTCTGGACCTTGCATTGTTTTCCATCCCCACACTGTTTCAAATGTGAACCTTAGAAAGTATATTAAACAGCCAACCTGCATGGTGACACTGAGAAATAAAATTCCTTATGGAGTAATATGGATTTTGGGGTCATATTAACCATGTATAATTTCACATCTATGATCGTTAAATTCCTGTAATAATGGCAATGCTGCAGAGATATGGAGACGGGCCTAGCAACGAACTCCCACTTGAAGAGAATGGAGACTACACAAGGGATATTGGGTACATAAGATTTGCAGATTATACAACCAGTAATGTAACAAGCTGCAGCAGCCCGTTTGATAATCTTCTAAATAACGTTTGGTACCAGCCTGAGGAAGTTTTTCCAATAGATGGAGATCCTGAAGAAAGACAACATGCATTTTGGGTCCCCGTCGATTCCCATTACTTCAAGATCTCAAGATTGCTTGAGGTAATTTAAGCCATCTCCCACTCATTTATTCATGTCTGGTCACTTTTTTTCCTTTTTGTATAATTCTTTGTTTGGGGTTTAGTGGGTCGGGTGCTGGTGGTGGTGGTGGTGGGCTAAGCCTGATATGACTCAGAACTATATCCCATCAATTTCGTGTCCCATCATCTGCAAAACCCTAGCTTAATGTGTATAAATATATAAAGCACAATCCATTGTACTATAATGCAGAATCAAATAAGTAGTAATTTAATGGTAGTTTTGTAGATGGAATTTCTAACCCTTTTCCCTCCTTTTGAGCACGCATAGACAGAGTGCACCAAACACTAGTTCAAGCAGCCGAATAAATTTCAATTTGGCCTATAAGCAATTCTCTCTTTTCCTAGTTAAGTTTGAGGTACCAAGAAAGTGAAAACAATTTTTATGTAATTGAGTTCTTAATATATCATTTCATACTAGGATTTTAGATGATTATAGTATTTCTCTTCCTATACTGTGATACTGAAATCTACGTGTATTTCTGGTCTAATAATTCCATCTAATCAGACAAACAATTATTTAGCGTGCAATGACTTGATTATGAGCAAAACGACGCCGCTTAATTAATAATGCCAAATTAATGTGGTTGATTAATGACTTAGGATATACAGACCTCGAAGAAATTAAAAAACAAGAATATGTATACAGCAAAACTAAAGTACATTACAGAGAGTAATCCACTGACTTATTCACCTCGCCAACCCCATAAAATAGTAATTATGAAACTCAAATAAACATATATTTTCTCAGAGATTAAATTCTTCACTAGAGAAAATCCTACGTTTTATCTTCTTGACATCCGTTTATTAATTAAAACATGGGGAAAAAATTTCACTAATGTATCAAATTAAACTAATGTATCTTTGTTACTTTAATTTTCAGGGCTTGGAATTAGAAGGTTGTGTGAATTCAACAACATGTTTGGACACAACCCCAAAGGTGACAAGGGTTGAAAGAGAGAACAAGTGCCAGCATTTACTTAGACAATGCAGCTTATAGGAGCTTCATATACAACAAGTTTAATGTGAGCCCTGTGGAGATGGAAAGTGCCTGCAGTGGCTCTCGTTTGCCATCAGCAAAGGGTTCCTTTCATTGTCATTAGGGCACTTTCCGACTTGGCCGGCGGTGGCACCGCTGAATCCAATGAGGCTGCTACTTTCACTGCTCTTGCAGCTGATAATTCTGTCAAAGTTGTGGTGGAATTCATCAAGATTTTACTGTCTTTTCCATGGCTCCTTCGAGAAGTCAGAAGCTGAAAGATCATCAGGTATGACAAATGCTTGAATAAGTTCATGTGAGCAAAGGAGAATGATTGTTCCGCAGAACATGCAGGCTGGCTTAATCTTATCCCTTTTCTTCTGTCTCTTTCTACGAGTGGAATAAATTGTAGTTTGGATCATCAAAACGTCATGTTTTTGTACTGATCCAATTCGAGTATATTATATATCAGATCTTTGTTGTTCTTTTTCTGCATTTTTCTCCAAAATCCACCTTGAGATGGTGAAGGGTTCTGGTAGACTCACGCCAGTTTTTAGGAAACAAATTATGTATTGTGGGCATAAAATTTTTATCTCCAAGATTTTGTCAACCCTGCTAATCTTGATTCTTCAGACATTCCACATGACTTTAGCCAAAGGTCACAATGACAAGCCTCCATGCCTTGTGGCTAGTTGGCTACCGACAAACGCTGTATGTTGACAAATCTTCTGCAAAACAACAGAAAGCTGAGTTGTTTAAATCTTTAAAAAAAACAAAAGAAAGAGTTATTTAAATCTTGATATTACTGATGTGCAAAATTTTCTAAAGATTCATAAAACCAGACACTAAGAGATGTTTTGAGCATCCACCAAACAAAATATCTCTGAGAATCTTGAGCTGTCGATGCAGTGAATTGAGCAACCTTAGAGCCTAATTGGTTTAGTCCTTCTAGAGTTGGAAAAATGATCAGGAGTGACAAATTCTTGAATAAAATTAATATCAACAAAGGATAATGATGTTCTGCTGAACATGTTGGGTTGCCTCGGTTTCATCCTTTCCAATTGAATATTAGGCAGACGATATTTGTTTTCAACTAATAAGATGTAATACAAGTGACTTATTAAAAAAAAAAAAGCAAAAATATCTATTCAAGAAAAATCCCTGCAAAGCATAGGGACCATAAACCACAAGTAGATGTAACTCTCCCTGTTTAGATTAAGCATATGTGAACAAATTTGATTGGTTAAACTACTATTCTCAAAAATCAAAGACTGCCAGTAGTCATTGAATACTTTTACATTATTGCACCTACTACCTACTACTGAAATTTTTTATTTGTATCAAACGTGAAAGTTGTAATCTGAACCACATCTCCAGGCAATCACCATATTCCCAACAAATCAGTCATCAACTTTTCTTTTTTGGGGTAAAAAGCTATGGGCATTGACATCTAGATAAGAGAGTTTACGTAGAAAATAATAGGCGAGAAAAAAAAACCTAGCTCTATAAAATAATACTCCCTCCGTCTTATTATTAATGTCATATTTTCATTTTTTTATTGTCTCAAAATAAAAGTCTCATGGCAAAAATCAAACAACTTTCAATACTATTTCTTTTCGTACCCTTAATAAGAATAATAAGAATGATAATTTCATCAATTAATAATAAATAATTATATATGGCCGACCATAACACGTGCACACTTTCACAAGTCCTGTGACCTTTTGTTTTTTAGCTTTCCGTGTTCAAACAATGGGTACGACTGGAAGAATACGAAAAGTGCAGTCCACCATTTGACTATACATAATAAGTGCTACTCCCGAAAAGTGTCCCAATTTTTGGGAAGGAGGAAGTGTAAATTACTTATTTTCCCATGCAATTTTTATATAATGCTAAATGACCACCCCTAAGGTTTAAGATAGCTACATAACTCTCCCGTGGTCCTATATAAAGTGAAAATAGACAGAATGCACAATCAATTATAACATTTATACTAAACACACTTTAAAAGCACTTGTGATAAACCTACATTATAACTCCCTATGGCTTCAACTAAATTAAAAATTGGCTGAAAGCATCTAATCTAACGGTTGTACGTGAAATGTCAATAATGCTTCTGTATATATAAACTTGTGATTTTTCAAATATTTAATTTAATTTTCTCTCTGATTTAAAAAAATATACTATAGTTTCCTATGATTTTGACTAAATTAAAAATTAAACAAAAAGCATTTCACATATAATAAGGGCAATATTGACATTTCACATATATCCGTTAGATTAGATCCATCCAATTTTCAATTTAGAAGAAATCACAGAGAGTTGTAGTATAAATTTTTAAATTTGAGGGAATTAAATTATATATTTGACAAATCACAGGGAGTTTTTTTCTATATTTTACCTTAAAAAAATCACGGGTTTGGAAGTTTATTGCAACAACAAAGACGTGACATGAGGATTGACAAAATTTATTTAGAAATGACCAAACCACGTGATAAACGAGGTAGACCTAAACGTAAATCATTGATAAAAGACAAAAGAAAGGGGTCCACAAAACACAGAAGCAATAATTTGCTCTCATTACACTCTTAGAAAAATGTAAAAAAAAAAAAAAAAAAATTAGGAAGTAAAACAATCAGAGAGAGACACGAGGGAATTATGACGTACCTTCAGCAATACATTTCTGTGTAGCTCAGACGGCAACAGCAAACTTGTTTGGATTGCTGTTTTGGTCAAAAAAAAAATTATGTAATTTTTCGTGATCATATTTCTTTATTATCTTTTTTTTACATATATTAAATCGTTACAGTAATTTTTTTATGAAAAATCACGAAAAATGCAATCCAAATACAACCTAGATGAAAATCTGTAAAGGTATTCTGCTCAATTGCACTATAACTTATATTCACTTCTCTTAAGTAAAAGGTTTGCAGTGATCTTTTATTTTTTCAATGAGTTATATGAATGTTGCATTATTTCCCGTGGCACTTTCGAAAGTTTTCTGCAAATAATATTTTATGTTAGAGTAAGGCCTTGTTTGGATTGCTTGTTTTTGTCGAAAAATTACGTCATTTTCCTATTATCTTTTTCCTCACATACATCAAATCGCTACAGTAATTTTTCCATGAAAAATGCAATCCAAACACAATCTAAATTTTCGAAACCAGCTCCTAAACTATCACTTTTATACACTTTTGCCCCTAAACTATACTATATATCGCTTAAGGCTTAAACAAGTTAACATATAAGGTTTTGGCCCTTTTGTTTCTACTATATTGACCTGACAGAATGGAGAATCAATTTTGTCCCTCCAAAAAAAAAAAAAAATGACGAACTTTTGGCTCTTTTTACTCTTCTTCTTTGCAGGTTATTTCATCCTTTAGTCCTAATTTTTGTATGATTCAATAATAATAGAATTATAGTGATCTGATCTTTTACTCATCTTCTTGTCATTTCTTTTTCATACAAGGACAATTTTTTCCCTCCATTCTATTAGGTCAAATAGCAAAAATTGTTTGAAGTGCCAAAAGTTTATAAGGTCAAATAGCAGAAATTAATAGAAGGGCCAAAAGTTTATATATTAATTTGTTCAAAGGTTTAAACACTACACAATATAGTTTAAGAGTCAAAAGTGTACAAAAATAATAGTTTAACGACCAATTAGGCAATTTAATCTTGATGTTACTTGTGTTGGGATCTAAGCGCAGAAAACAAGACTATTGAGAAATCAAGAATACAATAATTTAACGAGAAACAAGCACAAGCATGAATACCTCTACCTATTTATAAGTTACATTACTTGACTAATACCTAATAAGTAATAATAGGAAACAATTACTAATTCTTAATCTTATATAAAATAAAAATAACTCCTAATTCCTAAATTCATATAAATAAGAAAATAATTAAAAAGCTAGTTACTTACAAGCAAAAAAGAAAAAACTTGTCTAAAGAGATAAAACCAATTTGCTAACAACTTGTCACTCGCTTTACATATTCAAATGCTCGCAAGTCACTTCTTGTCTGCGTACTGCGTCTTTCTTCTTCTTTGTCGCTTCACTTTCTTTCAAGGACAAAATGATCCTACGTTGGAAAAACACATGCGAATCTTATGTAACTTTTTGTCTTGCGCAGATGAATCACTTTTACTGTATATTAAATTTGCATTCCGATTTCTTGATATGCTAAGGTAACTTGTGGGTTTTGATTTTATACTTTCACAAACTGTATATGAATTATTATAATTTGATAAGTCTTGACGTTGTAAAAGTACAAGTAACGTAAAACCTAAAGATTTTTAATACAAATAGATAGCCTGAAGGGAACAGATTCAAACTTATTCATATAAGTTAAATATAGGGTGACGATACTTACACACCCCATCCCATGAATATCTACTAGACCAAACGACAAGCATTACTAGTAGGAAAATAGAGGTGTACAAGAAACCAAACATTATCGTTAATTTTGTTCACAATTATATTGTAAGTTCCATGAAAGATATGATTAGTTTGTACAAAAAAATATATAATTAAAAATTAAAAATCCATTTTCCTATATAATGGTCAGTCTAGCAGCTCGTTAGTCTCATCCCTGATCAGTAATTCTCCTGTTTTTTCTCTCACACTTGCTCCCAAAACTATTCAAAAACATGAGTGCATAGTGAAGATGGCGGCCATGATGAAAATTTTTTGCTTCTTTCTGTTGTTATCATCTTTGCCCACATCCCGGAAGAAGCAGATAGTACATTGCACGCAAAGACACAAGAATTGATCAATTGAGCTAACAAATTATTGAGGTTTGGTAATTCTAAATCTACTTGAAACGGATCCACTACGTACATAAACATCCAAGTTTCATTCTTAGTGAGCACATTATATGCCATCGTCATGCAAGTAAAAAAATTCTGACAAATCAGAAGCATTCTGGGCAACTTTCATGAAGATTTACTCAAACAATAAGTTGATAATTAATTTTTATTTTAAATCTTAGCCTAAAGGAAATTAAGTGTGTGCTAACACAATCGAACAGAGTGTGCAGTGCATGATTTGAGATGTAAACAGGAAATGGTCAAATAGGATATGAAATGGGAATATGGAGTAATAATCTTCCTCCTATATTATTTATTATATTACTAAACCTTGAGCGTACATATATTGTCTAATCCTCCCTCGTCTACCCAGTCACTATTTAGCATGCAGTATTGACTATTTACTCAACTGCAAAACGACAAGCTTAATAATGCTAAAGTTATGGTCTTCACACGAACCATAACTTTGGGAATAATGCGAAGTTTTTCTTTACCCCAAAATTAAGAAAAGAAAGAGCCTATGTTTTCAGACTCGGACCGGGTATCAACTCAATTGAATTTAGGGGTCAGGGGTCAATGGATTCGATCGGAGTTGAATAAGATGACGTTATAAATAAAACTTACTTAAAAATTAAAATATTGTATGTAAAATACTTAAGAATATGTTAATATTAACAAATATATATATTCATACATATTTGATGTTTTAAATATATTTAATAAGAAAATACAAAGAAATTAGAATGATCAAGTAGCAATTTATATTATTAAATGAACATTAACAAGTTTAGAATTAAAAT